CTTTCGATGGGTAGAATAAATAATTGAAATAAGAGTTGTGAAAATTGTATAAATTAAAAACCTTCAATCTTTCTTTAGTAAAATTTCGAATTTTCGTATCAACTTCCGATTTGTGTTATACCGTATTTTCAGGGAGTAAGTTATTGATCAGAAAACTTTGCCTTGTTGCTCGAAACGGGTGTATATTAAGTAAAATTTATAAATGTACAGTTCTCAGGTCAACTACAATAAAGCTATACGCTTAAAAAGTTTACTGATTATTTGTCGTAATATACAATAAAAAATTACATATTAATTATTCAAGATACAAGTGAGAAATAAATATCATTAAAATATACAAAACAAATTTATCAATTTGACTCTGAAAAGTAAGTGACATGGTTCTCAAAGTTCAAGGTTTCATTTGACTTACAATTTTCTTCAGAAACACAGAAGAAAAAGGTATTTGTATATAGTTTTGTATATTCACTTCGTTGTGTGTGTAGAGCTTTTAAAAATACGTTGAATCCTTATTCTAATCTAATCTTCTTCTAATGTAATACTTTTCGTACTTCAAATGTTGTAGTAATTATTCTGTAAGAGCTTCGACATTATTTCTAAATGGACATCGAGAAACATCATAGTTTTTTGAGAGCAGGCCGCCATGTTATTTTTCTGAGTCATTAACAAATTGGTACTCTGGAATTACGAGCAATTATTTTTCATTGTACGGGCTAGTATGAATTTCAAATCAAATCTCTATAAACGACTATTATATTTTGTGCACTAAGAATAACATATCGCACTTATTTTCTAGAATCAAATTGTAATCAGTTTTACTTATATGTATGTATATTCAATGTGAACTTGCACCTTGAATAAAATATCACAGTTACTTTTCATGGTAATATATTATTACTAAATTTAGATAATATACACTTTACGTATGTTCACTTTGAACTGGCACCTTGAATAACATATCAGTTACTTTTCGTGATAATTTATTATTAGATCGTTTAAATTTTTAAAGGTTTAAATTTTGAGTACCTTCTTTTGAACATGGCCTGACCTTTTCATTTTTATGATTTTTTTAGGATATGTTTATTTCCGTGAGCATTTCCCTACGTAGTTCTCGCATGCCTCTCATTATCTCACGTAGCATAGGGTTATCTATTCCGGCCTCCCTATAATTAGGAGTTTCGCGCACCTCGATTTCGTCAACGCGTCTATCTATGTATCGTCTGGTATCGCGGGGGTTAGTTGTTCCTATTTCGCTATTAGGGGGTGGTGCATGTACGTCGGCTTCCACCAGTCGAGTATTGTCGCGAGCTATTGTACCGTGTAGACGGTCAATCTCGCGGTCGATGGCACTCTCGGACACATCCATGCCACCGTTAGGCGGTGTTCGCAGCATGTCCTGATACTCGCTCGGATCGAAAATACTACTATCGTATGATGTAAGCAAGGATTCCCCGCGTTGTGACCCGTTGCTAGGAGTTCGTCTTACGCGTTCGTTACTTTCTTTTCTTAATTTTTTAACGGTGTCGGTTTCCCCTTTTTCAAATAAACTTTCGTCAAAAATGTTAAACGGAAATTCGCGTTCGGCTTTCCCGTGAGTATATGATTCGGAGTCGCTCTCTCCTGAATAATATGCTTCTAATTTTATTCGCACTTTTTCGAGGTTTTCTAAGGTTATCGGTAGTGCTTTGATTGATCGTTCGGCTGAGTCGCTATGTAACCACGATTTATTTGCTATCGCTTGTCGGGGTGTTTCGCTTTCCTCCGACATTCATGCAGTTTATATATAAAAAGTTTGATTCGGACTTACATTAATACGGCTACCATTACTATCGCTCGCTCGCTGACGCTGCAGATCATTGCTCGGCAGTGTTGATACGGCTGGCGGTCCGGTGTTGTAAGGTGATCCGGCGGGTCGTTGTACGGTGCGATGCGTTGTCCGTGTTGTCGTAGGTCGCGTCCTTAGGTGATGGCCTACTTCCCGACGGCTGATGCGTTGTCCGTGTGTGTGTGTGTCTTCTTGTACGTACGGCACGCTGCTGCTTATACGTCGGCTTCTGTTTTGTTCGCTTCCCGTCGATTATTATGTTCGACGTGCCTGATTATTAATACTGCTGTATTTTTCAGGTCTTCCTCCGAGTAGTTCCTGACGGTCCTTCGGCGCAATCCCACCGCTGCCACCAATTTGTTGTGTGCCTCGGGAGAGACACCAGGGGGTCGCGCCAAATTGGGATGGGAATCCGGGGCGTCAGGACTTGTCGGGTGTTTGTAGAAAATGCACTACACTTTTCGTATTAAAATTCTTTATTCAACTTCAACCACTTGGTTATTATTTATCACCAATAATACACTGAAGCTTTAACGAGTGTGCGGCACTGACTTTCTATTACTCCGCGTATCGCGCACAACTGCGAGTCGATGCTAAGTGCGCGCGCGGTTAGCGAGATCGTGGTTAGAGCGATTATTTGTGTCTGCGACTGAGCGAGTTGTCGCGTCTCTACTCTCTTTTTATATCGTTGTTTTTTGGAGTTTTCCCGATCGGAAGGGGTGCCTGGCAACAGGTTTCCCCGGTCGAGAATCTAGGTGCAAGCGAAGCAGATTCAAAGTCCTTCTGCTTTGCTTGCACGTTGACCAATTTCTATTCCGCGTATATCTCGCATTGTATGCGTTTTTAACGCGGTCATTATCTGTCGTAATTCTGATTTCGCGTATACCTTGCATTGTATGCGTTTTTTAACGCGGTCAGTGTCTGTCGTAATTGCGGATGTAATACGAGTACCCATTTCTTAATATTAGTTACCTTTTAATAGTTATATCTATTGTATATCTTTGGGGGATATAACAAACCGTTAATACCGCGAAATTGATTTGCGCTCTGATCGACCAGTGAACACAATTTTTCTGGGACGCTACTACTTCTTATTAGGTTGACCGGTGATCCCGAATCAACCACCGCGCCGTCGGTATAATTAAAATCTGCGCCCTCATCCGCCGCTAAAATATCCACACTTACAATGTACGGTCCAGGAAGCGCGGCGGGCCGAACCGCGTCCGCCAACACGATCTCCGTCGATCCCGCCGTCGGACCCGCCACCGCCGGCCGTCCACGCCCAGGGCACCCCGCCGCCAAGTGTCCCGACGCCCCGCAAACATAACACGCGCGACCCGTCGGCGGCCGCCCGCAACGTGCCGCGATATGGCCTACCTCACCGCAGCGGAAACACCGCGTCCGCTCTAATCCCGGTTGCCCGGCTCCACCATCCGCATCTGGCCTCACCCTGCCTCCCCGGCTCTCCGCCCGTCCCGGGCCCAACGCCGCTCCTAGTCCCTCGCCGACAGCGGGTCTCGCTCCTCCGGGCGGCCCCATCATCCTGTCTCTGCGCTCGAACACGATGCTCTCGAAGGCCTCCAGCAGTTCCGCTCCCGACCGGAACCTCATCAGACGCGCCTGGTTCCGCAATTGCACGTTCGTAATGCCCTCAATCACATGATCAAGAAGCTCGTCCTCAGCCACCGGGACACGATTAGCAAGAATCACCTTTTCGTGATAATAATTGCTAAATGGCTCGTCGCCCCTCCACATGCGAGCCTCAAATTTTCTCCGGAGCGTGATCCTCGCCGGACGCAAGTCGAACATTCGCGCCATTTCTTCCAGCAGCTCCTCCATTCCCAATGCAAGGTGTTCGGTTTTGGAGTAGAACCAGGTCAATGCCCGTCCCTTCAAACGAGAGCCGATCAGGATCCTGGTAGCGCCTTCGTCAAGACGATAGGTGTCCCTGAGAAGTCCGAGCTGACTCCTCCACCTCCAAAACGTATTCTCACTTCCGTCGAATTCCGGCAACAACTCCTTGACACCCCTAAAACTTTCACCACCGGACGATCCCGCTGATGCCACCGAAGAGCCGCGAAACAGCTCTCTCTCCCTTTGAAAAAATGATCTCTCTCTCTCTCCCACAGATCCTTCTCTCTCCGCAAAAGATTTAACTCGGCGCGTTCTAAATTTCCGAGGAGAGCGGACGAGGCGCCCTCGTGCCCTCGCACCGCCGCATCCCGTCTCGCCGCAGTCCTCTCCAACGCGGTCTCCTCCGCAGCAAACTCCTCCGTGGAAGCATGTGTGGGAGGAATGCATGGAATGGGGAAGGGAAGAGAGCTGGCAGGAAATGGTGAAAGAGGTGCTAGGAGAGGAGGGAGAAGGGGAAATGTGGTTAAAAAGGTTAGAGAAAGCAAGAGGGAAAGGGGAAGGGAAGGATGGAAAAGGAGGGAAGGGGGAAGAGGGAGGACAAGAGTTGAGGGAAGAGAGAGAGGGGGAGAGTGGGTGTGAGAGAAGGGAGAGAGAGAGAGAGAGAGGGAGAGAGAGGGAATGAGTGAAAGAAGTGAGAAAGGATAGCAGTAACCGGAAGCGGAGGTCCCACATAGGTTAAGTAATACATAAGAATGCGAAAGTAGTAAATAAGAAGGCGTAGGATAAGAAAGGCTAGGGTAAAGAGGTCGTGTGTGTGGAAGAGTTGGTAGGAAGTAGATAGGGTAGAAATGCGAGAAAGGGCGTAGTAGGCGGCGAAGCGGAGCGGCGTAGCGTATCATTTATATATATAATTGTCTATATTAATTAGGTTTAAGTTATAGGTTAAGGATTGTATGTAAATGAACGCATAAAGGTTTGGAATCGCTCCTTTAAACAGGAAAAAAGCGCCTTGTAACCTCCAATTGGGGCAACAATAAACGTATCTAATCTAATCTATCATCAACAAGAAATATGTTAATGGCGAGTACTTATATATTGATATAATCTATAATTAAAAACAATATTAAATATTAAATTACTTAACAATTACTTAACAATTACTTAACAATTACTTAATTTTTTAACAGATTATTAATAATGGCGAAAAATTTCGCTGTCGTTACTTTTCCAAGCGATGGAAATAATGAAGAAGAAATTGTATCAGAAGTTCCATCTTTATGGCTTTCTTCCAATTTAAAAGAATGCTGGTGGCTGTTGGTAAAAAAATGTAAATACCTTTATTATAAAACAAATTCCACCTGTTATTGATGATCCTAAATGGGAATCTTATCCCATTAAATTTCATGGATATTATGGTAAGTTATATTTTATTGTAGAATTTATGAAATTGTTTTTTTAATATTTTTAAAAAATAATGTAATTTCTAAATACGATTTTGTCTCAATTTAGATTTATTAGAAGAAGCTAGACAGAGAGCAACAAACTATTCTTCAAATAAGGAAAGCAATATAAATGAAATAAAGAAGTCCGCACAAGACAGTTGAATAAAACTGTTTCTCACGATGAGTCAGAATCTGATTCTGATGACTCACGTTTAGTTATACCAAATCCACCAAATCTTACTGTAAATACAAATGCCTCGCAATCAATTAACAAAAGTCAATCTATCGCAACTGTTATTAATTCATCAGTTGTCAGCAATGATATTGACCTGGAGATTCTTGATGGAATTTTAGTATCACTTAAAAGTAATTTTTATTTTAAATTCTTTAATTCAATTTACTTATATTATTTTCATAATATAAGTTTTTTTATTACAGTTATTACAGTTATTATTATTGTTTATTATGTGAATAATCTAATATTTCTTTAATGTTAATTTTTAGGTATACAGGATGTACATACGTTAATATCAGATGGATTCGAAAAAATGGAAGGTATTGTATTTATTTTTGTCTTATAATCTTATTGTCTTATAATATACTTTATATCTATTTTTGGCACTGTTTATTCAATACTATTAATTTTTCAGGTCATTTTAAGAATATATATACAGCTATAACTACAGTTACATTAGGAATACAAGAATGAATACTAAATGTTCATTTAACAAATATAGAAAAACAAAATAATCAACATAAATCCAAAGCATCTGTCACGGATACATCAAATATACATCAATTTTTTCCATTTAAAAATATAAATGAAGTAACAGCTTTTGAAAACCGTTTATCAGAAAATGTAGATGAGTACAACAAATTTCATCTAAATAGAACAATAGAAATTGTATTTTTGGTATGTTTTATTTCTAAAGATGCTGTATATATCTCGCATAGGCGGAAGGTCCGCCAAGGAAAATTTAATTCGCATATACCTTTATTTTCCAATGAAGTTGCCAAAGAATCATATTGGAAAGGATTACAAAATCATTTTAAAATTAGTAGCTTAAAGTATATATTAATGGGAATACTAGGTAAAATATATTTTTATATTTATTTTTATAAACAAGTTTATAAAATAAAATTTAATTTAGTGTATTGTAATATTTCAGCAACAATTTCCGGTCAACATCAATTCACAAGCAAAGAATTTGAAGATGTCACAAAAGAATGGTTTCGCCAAGGTGGTCAGAGGCTTAGCAGACAAAAAGATTCCGAAGAAACAAATCCGCAAGTCATTTAAATGTTTCAGATGCTTATGATTTATTTTCATTATAATTTTTTTCTATAGTAGCTAGAGTCTATTAATATAACAAAAATATTTTTCTTTTCCTAATTTTTTATTGAATAATTAATACTTAAGTTTTTAAATTTTTGTGTTCTAAATTCATATAGTCTGCACTGTTTCTTTTCATTATGAGTTTTATATATATATATGTTATTCAAAAGTATCAATAAATGATGCTTACTAAGTCTGCTAATTCTCTTAAAAAAAATATTTAATTCAAGTAATGACGTTATATATATATATATCAACTTTTTGAAATAAACAGCATTTTCAGGCCTTTTAAAAAACCTCACATTTATTGTCGGTATTGGTAATACCCACAGGAAAGTTACAAGGTCGGACTTACACTTTGTGTGTGTACATGTGTGTGTGTGTATGTGTGTAAGATGTGTGTGTGTGTGTGTGTGTATGTGTGGAAAGGGTATGAGTGAGTATGTGTGGGATGTGTGTGAGCGTGTATGAAGTGTGTGAATGTGTGTGGAGTGTGTGTGAGTATGTGGAATGTGTATAGGATATGTGTTTGTATAGGGTGCGCGCGAGTGTATGTGTATGTGTGAGTGTGTGTGTGGAATGTGTATATATGAATAAGGTATGTATGGGGTATGTATGAGTGTGATGGTGTGTGCATGTGTGGGGTGTGTGTGAGTGTGTATATGAAGTGTGACTGTGTATGGAGTGTGTATCAGATATGTGTGAGTATGTATGGAATGTGTATGAATAAGATCAGTATGTGTGTGGAATGTGTGAGTGTATAAAGTGAGTGTGTATGGAATGTGTATAAATGAGATCAGTATGTGTGTGTGGAATGTGTGTGAGTGTATGGAGTGAGTGTGTATGAAGTGTGAGTATGTATGGAATGTATGTGTGTGAAGTGTGTATCGGATATGTGTGAGTGTGTATGGAATATATATGAATGAGATCAGTATGTGTGTGTGGGATGTGTATGACAGACACACATTATATACATACTTACACACATTCTTAAAAACACCTCCCCCCGCATATAAATTATATATATATATATACTACACATTTATACATCCACACTTATACATTACACACCTCCGCACACACCATGCACATCACACATATCCTATACGCACTCATACACACACACATGCCCCCCCCACACACACTTCTCACACATACACCACCCTATGTACACATACTTTTCACACATACATATATACACCCCGTACACACCCATACACGCTCACACACATCGCACACATGCTCACGCGTACCCCACACACGCTTACACACACCCATACTCTACACACACTTCACACATACTCACACATTCCATACACACACACATCCCACACATACTCACATATACCCTTCTCCCCCACACACTCCACACACACACACACACCCATACACATCCCACACACACACCCATACACGCTCACACACATCGCACACATGCTCACACGTACCTCACACACACCTTACACACCCATACTCTACACACACTCCACACACACTCACACATTCCATACACGCACACATATCCCACACTTATTCACACGTACCCTTGTGACGACCCGATTAGCCGTCACTAATCGCCCGCGCTCATGTAAACGGTCCCTTTCGGGGCCACCACACGAACACGTTGGGAATCCGCCTTTTCGCCCCCACCCGTCACTCGACCCCCTCCAAGCTAGTCTTAGAGTGGGGTAGCCGACGGGTATAAAGAGCGGCGCAGCCGAGACTTCGGCACCAGTCCCGTCCTGGTCCCTCGAGCGTACTCAGGGATCACTCCTCAACTCCCACACTCCAAATCACCCCGGCCGACGAGCGTTCTCGTCGTGCAGGCCGAGCGTTCTCGGTCACCGGGTCCTGTCCGTAAATCACCCCGGCCGACGAGCGTTCTCGTCGTGCAGGCCGAGCGTTCTCGGTCACCGGGTCCTGTCCGGAAATCACCCCGGCCGACGAGCGTTCTCGTCGTGCAGGCCGAGCGTCCTCGGTCACCGGGTCCTGTCCGTAAATCACCCCGGCCGACGAGCGTTCTCGTCGTGCAGGCCGAGCGTTCTCGGTCACCGGGTCCTGTCCGTAAATCACCCCGGCCGACGAGCGTTCTCGTCGTGCAGGCCGAGCGTCCTCGGTCACCGGGTCCTGTCCGTAAATCACCCCGGCCGACGAGCGTTCTCGTCGTGCAGGCCGAGCGTTCTCGGTCACCGGGTCCTGTCCGTGAGTCACCCCGGCCGTCGAGCGTTCTCGTCGTGCAGGCCGAGCGTCCTCGATCACCGGGTCCTACCCGAAAGTCAACGGCGCCCGACGGAGCTCGCCCTTCTCAGGGCGCCCGTACGCGTGTCCGCGTTGGAAACTTTAGGTATAAGTCGTGTCCGCGTCCGTATAATCTGGCCGCGTTTTGTCCGTAATCTTCCTATCGGTAACTTCTAGTAATAAGTCGTGTCCGCGTCCGTATCATCTGGTCGCGTTTCGTCCGATTATACTATGCTGTGTATAATGGTTTGAATCACGGGAGAACCACAGGAAGGTGGCTCCGAATAAACTCTACTTTTACCAGAGCAACCGTGTGTCATTGTGAATCTGAGTCTCCCCTCTTCCCGAATCCTGGCACCGGCGAGCCGATCCGTGGCGTCGGGAAAGGTGCTTCGTTACACCTTTTTTTTTTTTTTTTTTAACAGTGGGAATCCTCATGGATACTACCGCTCTCCGGGAAGAGAGCGGATGGTTATGTGGGACTTCTTGTTCCCCTTGGCCGATCCACGAATGGATCGGTCAGGGGGCCAAGACATACCTCACGAATTGCGAATTGCATCGTGCGGAGGTCCTCGCAGTTGCGACGCAGGGCGATATCGACCCCACGTCGCGCCCTCCCAAAGAGTTTGGGGGGCGGGGTTGCGGCTCGAGTATCCCGCTCGAGCCGCCACCTCCCGCCTCCGAAACGGTGCTCCCTCCCCCTCCCGAAGGGAATGGGGATTCGGCATTCGCCCCGGAGGCCCTCTCCAGAGGGTTCCTCTCAGAAGGAGAGGAACCCCCTCCGTGGACGGCGTTGCCCTCCCACCGGTGCCCTGTGGCTCCCGGTGAGAGGGCCCCGTGCGTCACGTCTCCGTCATAGAGGGGGGCCCAGGCGCCCCAAAAGACGCGTGGCCCCCCCTCGGTCCCCCGATTACGGCTCTCGCCGCTCCCTTGGGAGTTAGGATTCGGCCGCAATCAGGGGGATTTCCCGTTCAGGGGCGCGGCCGCGCCCACCTCGCCTAGGCAAGGCGGCGCACCCACGCCCCCGATTCTCGAGAGGTCTCTGGGGGGAGAGTCCAGGGACTAGTTGTCCCCGACCCCCCCCCCCAGCGACCTCATCCCGCGTCGTATGGCGACGCGGGTGTAAAATTGGCGGACCTTCCCGCCCCCCGCCACCACGGGAGAGTAATCTCCCCAATGGCGGGGAAAGAGAGTGCCCGCCCCCCCCTCCGTGGCGGTCTCCTGCGCCACCGGGGACAAGCCCCCCCCGATTCCCGCCACCACAGATGAGCGAGCTCGCCGATGGCGGGAAGAGGGGAGGCCTATCCCCGCTCCCACTATCTCCTCCATTACCGGGGGCGCACCCCCCCCCCCCCGATTCCCGCCACCACAGACGAGCGAGCTCGCCGATGGCGGGAAAAAAGGGGGCCCATCCCCGTTTCCACCGTCTCCGCTTCCACCGAGGGCGCGCCCCCCCCCCGATTCCCGCCACCACAAACGAGCAAGCTCGCCGGTGGCGGGAAAAGAGGGGGCCCGTCCCCTTCCTCCTCGTCTTCTTCCTCCTCCCCTTCGTCCGAGGGCTGGGAGTTGCCTCTCCCAGCCCTCTCCCTCTCTCTCTCCGCTTCCTCCTTCTGCGACATAACTCTCGCAGAAGGAGGAGAACGCCATCCAGACCTCTTCTCTCGCCACCATCTCCTTTACTAGAGATGGCAGCGAAAGATCTCCCCCCCCCCGATAGCTGCCTCCAACTCTCTCCTCTCCTCCGACCAGGCCACACACTCCTGGAGTGTGTGGCCGGCCGTGTCCCTCCTTTCGTTGCAATGGTGGCAACGTGTCGTGCGCTCCTTCTTAATACGACACAGATACTCACCGAAGCATCCGTGCCCGGTGAGTACCTGCGTCATTCGGTAAGAAACACCCCCTTGGCCCTGCCTAGCCATTGTTCCAGGCAGGGCCGGATGGCCCCGACGGTCCACTGCCCCGGCAGCTGCGGGTTTTGCAGCATGCCGGACCAGCTTTCTATCAATTGCCGTCGGGTGTGGGTCCTCAATGTACGCCGGACACCTGCTGTGACGGCCGTTCCCTGCCTCTGTAGCCCGCGTGTACGCCTGTATACTTCGGCGTACATGCGGGCTAATAACTCTATAGGGGGTATTCCTGAGAGTACCCCCACGGCCGCCCAGCTTACCGTACGGAACCCCCGGCATATACGGTTGGCCACCCGCCTTTGCAGCTGATGCAACGCATCTCTGAGTTTGCGGGTGGCCTCTACCTTTTCTGCCCATACGGGGGCTCCGTACATCACCATAGAATGTATGGTTCCGGCGTAAAGTCGGCGAACCCTTCCGTCAGGTCCCCCGAGGTTTGGCAGCAGGCGGCATAGTGCCATCGCTGCCTTGTTTACCCTCGGGGTCAGTTGGCGGAAGTGCTCGCCGAAGGCCCACTTGCCATCCAGGTGGAGACCCAGGTATTTAATTTGGGTCCCACCTTTATTGGGGTGTTTCCCACCATTATCTGGGCTTTAGGAGGCGCCCCATGAGAGCCGTCATGGAAGAAGACGGCCTCTGTTTTTTGGGGCGCCACCTTCAGCCCAATTCCTCCTATAGTGCGCATGACACGCGCCACCGCAATATTCGCACGCGCCACTGCTTCCCCCCAAGTGTCCCCCCGGCCATGATTAGCGTGTCATCTGCATAGCAGATGACGTCACAGCCAAAGGGAAGGGCAGTCCTCAGGGTCACGTCGTAGGCGAGGTTCCACAT